GTTTGCCAGTGATTTAGTCATGTGTTATTCAAACTTTTTTATTTATACAGGTTTTCATTGTTAATGTTTAAGTTTTATGAGAGACATAGTCGAAGTGCTCGTATGAATCGTGCAAGTGTTCTAAGAGTTATATGACAATTTATTTTAAATATTAATAGGAGCAAGAAACGGTTGGAACTTGCTTCGTGCGAGACTCAAAAGTACTAGTCTAAAAAAAATTAGGCTAAATTTACTGATATGGGAACCCCGAAGTATTTGATAATGAAAACAAATAATAAAAGCTGGATGTGTGGATGTGAAAAATGAGGGTAAGCCATCGGTTATTGACTTATTGTGATAAACATTACAGGAATTCATTTCTGGAAGTGGCACTGAATTTTCGTTCGAAAGCAACACCAGCAATTTACCCGGAAGTAAACGCAGCCCGCGCTCACTTTTACCGCAAAAAATTACAGCTGCGGAATTTAATTCAGCTTTTTTACATCTGTGCTCGTAATTTGCCTCCAAATTGATTAGCCAACAAGACCTAATTCTCAACAACACAAAAATGATTACATCTCTAGGAAGTATTCGGGTCGAGCAAATGCATTCAATATTGATAAGCTTCTATACGCTGCCAAGTCATGAGACGATAAAAGTCACAGATTTGTTGCCTCAGTCCAGCGACTGGAATAAAAGTTCATGAAAAATTCACTGTGATTCCTGCCCCTGAATCCAAGTAAGACAGCTAAACCACGTAACCCTTGCCGGAAAAAATCAATTGAGGCGAAGATTTGTTTCGGCTCGTAATAGGAAGCGTGATTTCATGAGTTAAAAATTGCTCAGTATCATCGATTATAATGTAGGTTATTTTGGCGGACATATCACTGTCGTTGCATGCATTTCTTTAAAAAATCACAATCATTTAGTACAATGAATATGACCCGTCAACATGACAAAACAATAAGACAATTCAGAAATAAATATAATCAGAACAATACCTAAAACTCCTTCAGAGACACTTGCCTGAGGATGCTAAATGATGCTCGTATATATAGAGCCGCGCATACTCTAGGGCATCGTTTGTTAAGGAACTTTTCGGACTTCGAGGTCCTCAGACAATAGATATTTTTTTATTAGATACCTAGAAAAATTGCATTGAAAGAATTTTTGAACCAAACCCGGCTTACTTTTTATTGAAACATGTCGAACTGAAGGATCTTGCCTGATGTATTCATTAGGCAATTCTTGATCGCCTCCAGCTTAATCGATAACAATCCTGCTCGGGATCAGCTGCTATTCGGCCGTCAAGTCTGATCCTGCAGCAACTCTGCTCTGTTGTTTAATTGGCGCTGAGCCTTGCACCAAATTTTAATTTGGATAAATAGAATATTTTTGCGGAGTTTCTAGCATATACCTTTCGATTGGAATAAAATTGTTGCTATAATAATTAATAATATTGTTGGAAATATTAATAGTTGGCCGGCGATGCCACCATTTGTTAAGATATTTATAATCAATTTAATTTGATAGCATTCCTATCACATTACTCTTCCTGACTTAATGATAACTCTCTTATTAATTTCTGCTAATCAATTGCGAATTCACAGTGCAGAACTTCATACAACCTTAATTCGAAATTCGTAGGAGAGTTTAATTTTCTAATTTAATTGCTATATTTGTACCCCATTTTCTCCTTTATGGAAAAAAATGCGCAAATGTGCTCTAAATGTCCTTCTGTCCGTCTGCCTTTCCTTCTGTCTGTCCGTCCGCGATTCCACGTTTTCGTTGACGAGAAAATGCGCTCTCTGTCACTCAGTGCAGTGAGTACTGATTTATATCTTTTTATTTAACTTGTTGTTTTGCCCATCATTCCGATTTGTTTGAAGTATGTCTGAACTTGGTCTGAGATTTGTTTGAGATATGTCAGAACTTGGTCTGAGATTCGTCCGAGAATTCATTGAGATTTTTCCCGCAATTTGTCCAAACTAAAGTCAACTCGGACTGGAGCCAAATTGAAACCAAAAGGAAGCCCTAGTGATGCCAGAGTACAGCAAAATGCTGTAGTAATAATAGTAGTAGTAGAAGTAGTAGGTTTTCTAGCGCTTCATGAAGAACTTGATCATTCCATAAAAAGCAAATTGGAAGCCAAATAGAAATGGAAGCCAAATTTCATCGCAAATTGGAAGCCAAATTCTGCGATGAAACGACAAATTTTTTCTCGGGGTAGATTTAAACTAAAAAAGTACTTCTACAAATGTGCACTAGACAATTAGAAAATTTAATACGTATAAATACATTGATCCAACGTCCGTTTCCCGATGTCACGTTATTTCACCAATTTTTAAAAATATATTATCTTCGCCAACTTTTTCTACCATTTTAAATATTTAAATCATGTTTATAACGTTTAATGTTCTCATAACATCACGAAACAACGGGATACTGGACATACTGTATAGTATCTTCACTATATTAGGCATATAATATATAAGGCAGATAATGTAATTTTGAAAAATATAAATGATTAAGAAATAATCATAAAATTAAACAGAAATCATGATTTGATGGTATGAACTGTAAAAATCCGCATCAATCGTTATAAACATAAGTTTCACTAAATATTAATTCTGCGGCTTGCAACGATTGCTTTTTTTAGATGCCCGCCAACTCTAAAGTTTAATGAAGTCCACCATCAAGCAAGGCTCATAATTTAAGATTGTCACATTGTCGAGCTTTTAAACAAGCGTCTCGAAGGATTACCTGTCAAGCCATACGTCCACTTCATAGAGGATACTCTTCGACCTTCTTATTTCAGATGAGAATTTGCCGTAAAAGTCAATAGACGAATCCAGTGCTCTCCTCGAATATTGTTCGAAATTTTTTCCTGACGGAGTGCTGAACTGAATGGTGAAACCCACTGTAACTCGACTTCATTATCTACTTAATGTGATGATAATTGAGATAATATAATATATAAATGTGCCAGTTATGTTTGTCGGTTGCTTTTCCTTAACTACCCGAGTTTAATCTATCACAACCAGTTGCGGTCTTGAACCCCCAACTCGTTTCTTCTTTCTTAGTGATCAAAAACACTAAGCATCCTCGAGTGTAGACCAGTGATAGACCACATACATATGACAGAAGTTCTTCATGTACTAAATATTAATGCCACACTCATACATCAAACGAATTAGCAGCAAATACGTATGTGTCACGCTTAACCCTTTATGGACCACATTTTTTAAAGCAAGCAAAAAATTTTTTTCGGTAGTTTCTTGTTAATATGGTGACTATATAAGTGGGTTAAAGATGAGTTTAGTATATTGAAAATTGTTTATTGAAAAAAAATTTAAACGCGTTATTTCAGTCCACTTGGTCTTACGAGCAGAGCTGGGCAGCGCTACTTGGAAATGTAGCGGCGCTACCGCTACCGCTACATGCTCTAAATGTAGCGGGCGCTACCGCTACCGCTACACCCACTAGATTGTAACGGGCGCTACCGCTACCGCTTCAGTAAAATGTAGCGCGCTACATTAGCCGCTACAATGGCCNGTAAGGGGCAGCATGTGAGGGGCAGCACCGTACTCCCCTCTCCTCCCCTCGCTACCCTCTCAATACAATGTAATCATAACGAGAGTCTCGAGTGTCAGGGTCGATATTATTAATAAATACAATATGTTACTGTACGCGGTAAATAAGATTTATGTTGTATTTGACATTTAGGTGGTTTTCAGTTTCCTGAATGAAACTTTTCGCATAACTCGACACTAAAATCCATGGAAGTTAATTATGCAATGTAATTCTGTAAAGATGGAATACCAGCAGGAATTACAACATAATAATTCGGGCAGGTAATTCCGACATGATTTCGCCTGTCACTTTCAATGGGAAATTCAGTAGCGTGATTATTTTTTACAAAATTTTCGACTAAAATTTACAGGAAAATGAATTATTGCGCGAAATTGAATGAATATCGTTCTTTGTATTTACTTATATTCAGAATTATCAATTTCCATCATTACAGGTCTTCTAAAATATCAATTAAGTTTTAAACATCATAGTTTCAGAAGTTTCAGCGCATCGTTGCGCTGCTTATTGCCGCTGGTATTTCAATTAAACCTAATTCGAGATTATTTATTGATTCATTGCGTCATTACACTAATCATTGTTTCATTAACAATATACACAAACTCGCGTTTCAATTAATCGTTGACTCAAATTTTCGTGAATAGTTTTACATTAATTAAAGTCTTATGCACAAATAACACTTACCTTATGCATCGTTATGTCATAATTTATAACTAAGCAACATTTAAAAATTATTGAAATATTTCATCGAAATTAGTTTCTGATTATCAGATTGTCGTACAGTCTGGGAATAATCTCTCTATTTAGCTTCAAATTACTAAATTATTGTCCAGTTTACCAATGACCTCCTTATTTATCGTTAATTATTGAATTATCTTTATTTATCATCCAAGTATTGAATTATCGTTTTATTTATTATCCAAGTATTAAATTATCGTTTTATTTATCATCCAATTATTGAATTATCGTTTTATTTACCATCCAATTATTGAATTATCGTTTTATTTATCATCCAATTACTGAATTAACGTTTTATTTATCATCCAGTTATCAAATCATCGCACAATTTAATCTACCCGTTATTCATCAACCTATTAACAAATCACCGCACAATCTACCCGTTATTTATCATCCAATTATCAAATCATCGCACAATTCAATCTTCCCGTTACTCATCATCCAATTATTAAATTATCGCCCAATTTAATCTACCCGCTACTCATCATCCAGTTATCAAATCACCGCACAATCTCCCCGCTCCTCTCCCCCAAGACCCGCCGGTGGCGCGGCTGGAGTTGGGCCGCGGCCTCAGCGCCGGCGACGTCACTGAAGGCGCCGACGTTTACTTCACCTGCGTCGTGGACGCCGTACCGCCCCCCTCTACCGTCCACTTCTACAAGCAGGTGTGCCGCCCCCCTCTACCGTCCACTTCTACAAGCAGGTGCGCCGCCCCCCTCTGCCGTCCACTTCTACAAGCAGGTGCGCCGCCCCCCTCTGCCGTCCTCGGCATATTTCTGATGAATTGCGAACAAGACACGCTGATAAAAAGCCTTTCTTGCTGAAGAATCTCACCAGCCGGTCCTATTTCAACGGTAAACAATTCGTTTGTTGTGACGAATTTCTGAAATTCATACGTGAAATTTCGTTCTAAATTGGAAGGGCATGTTCTTTACTTGGTACAATGATGAGCGAAGTTAAAAACAATAGTTATATAAACACAACTGCAGTTGTAGCATCAATGTCGATAGCTTGACAGTTTAGTAGCACTTGAGAATTTTTTTCAAGTCGCTCAATTTGACTCTCATTTACATTCGATGAATTAATGACATGCAATCGTTATTGTATGTCAGTCTGTGAAAACCATTGTTATTACATACAACATGGGAGAAACTCTACCTTGTCCAGACTGTGATGTAAATGTAATTTTATCTCTAAACCCTGTTTTCCACAAGCGTCCAACAGTTTCGAGTGCGTCTAAAATCCAAGCAGTTCGCGAAAGTTGTGAACTCGGGTCTCATAATTAGAAATTCTCCAAAAGAATCCAATTTATTTTTTCACAAAAAGTTTTGTAAGATTTCGTGATTCTGCTTGTCTACATGGAATAACCACAATTATATTTACATTTTGTTTTTATGCAGATGTGATTTTTTAAAAATGGTTGCTGATTCTAATTTGACAGGTTATATTGCGTTGCTTCTTTCACAACTAAATAATAACAAAAGATCGAATTTCTATTAATTTTAAACCATAAAAAATAGAAACAAATCACTTGGAAAGGAGCAAAGATGGATAATAGTATATATGTGATAAAAAATTTACAAATATTTCAAATTTATTGTCATTATTTACCAAAAAGATATCTGCGAGCACCATTTTGTGTATGTAATCAACGTTGCAAGCATGAAATTGTGTAAAAAAAATAAAATCAAATTAGATCAAATGCTCTATCAAAGTCATTTCCTGATATTAATCGTATTTGTATAAACAATATCAATAAACCCCTACTGTGTCACTGTCAGGACACTGAGGTAGAAGGCATTACACTATGGCATAGTGTAATGCACTGTGTAATTACACTATAGCATAGTGAACTTATGACCGTATGATGAGTTCGGACTTCCTAGTCCCCGGTCACGCTGATGCGCCGCCTTCGTCGTCCACCGTCTCCGAGTCGTCACTAGGCAGGTCACCCCGCCCTAGGGTCCCGGATGTAACGTTATACATGTTCCGTCTATTTACCTTCCTTTTGGCCAGCTGATGTAAGATGCTGTTGCTTGTCACTTGCTGGTGGTAGTTTCCCATTACTGGACAATCCGGGATCTTTTTCAGCCACTTGTCCAGTCGTCTCTTGAAGTTGCTTTTGGCAAGGCGTAAAAGAGCCTCGGTCCTACAATGGACAGTGATCCCTCACGAAGAGTCTGTACTCTGGCCGCTGCTCGGTAATTAAATGGGGGCTATTACTATACATAATGCCAAATGCAATGAAATATTAACCAAACAACCTCTCTGTTCATTAATCAAATGTGAATGAATATTATCAATAAGCCCCTGCAATGTCTCCATCAGGACACGGAGGTGGTGAGTGACCGCGCCAGAGGTGTCCTAGTGACGAAGGACTCGTTGGTGCTGCAGCGCGTCACCGCCGCGGCGTCCGGCGAATATTCCTGTCGAGCGGACAACTCCCGCGGCTCCGACCACAGCAACCGACACGCTCTACACGTCAAGTGTAAGTCTCGGGAGAAAGTGTGCATTATAAAAAATTATTCGCTAAATATGGGAGATTTGATTTTAATGAAATCTAGCTCTGTGTTTTATTAAGAGCTAAGACCATAAACATGTGGAGGGTGGGCCGCATGGTCGACTGATAATATATATTTTTTAGTTGTTACAACTTACAACCATTAACCGTTTCAGGCATTCAGTGGCAGATGTTCGTCATTTGTATGATGAAATTTTCGAACATATTCATCAGCTCTGTCACGAATTGACAAAAAAAAACTTTGTTATGAGCTAAGTTCCCTCTCTAATTGGCATTCCAATCAATGATGCAATTTAGATTAGGTTGATGACGTGACGTTTCTGGATTTAATCCCCGACCAGAAACGTTTGTTTAATTAATAAACATGTATACTCAGTCGCTCAGGCTTCATCAAGCATTTATTCATTTTTGTCAGTAATACCATTTGTTCGTTCATCATATAGTCAAACCTATAAAAATTTCAAATGAATAAATTTACAACAAAATTTATCCTATTTGTTAAAGTAATAAATAGTAATGACATTTAATCACTGAAATCGGATAATTTTTTCAAACTAATTTTTTAATATCCATAATTTTTATATTTATTTATTTCTTGCTTCATAACTTGCATTGATTTTACGATTTGTGCAGCCACGTAACCGTAGGCTAATTTCGTCGTATTCAATTACTATTTAGCGATGTTCTACTTAATAAGAATTAATTGGTGAACATATTATAATACTGCTTCGGTTTTTGTTGGTAAAGTAAAGTAACAATTTATATTATATTTCTTCTCGGATTTCTAAATTTTCAAATCTGAATTGAATTCTGAGGCTGGAATTTCGAATTCAAACCCATTCGATTGATATCGAAAGTGTATGCTCATTATTTTTTTAACTTTATCACACCGGATAAAATAAAAATCTGGTAAAACTTTCCAATTCTCAATATGCCAAAGTTTACCAGTTGTTGAATTTCTCTATAACTTTCGTCAAATTTCAAAGAATTTCAAGAAAAACTCTACTCTGACTGCAGTATTACCGCTTGTCTTTACCTTAGCTACCCCACGCTGCCGGTGGGAGAAGACTTGGCTACATGTATGAAGAAACGACTACAACATAAGTGTAAAATTTTGTCGAAACGTTCTTCAAATGCAAACACATTTCAAGAAAATGTTCTCCTTCTATTATATTGCAATTCTCCCATCTTTACTTCAGTTGCCCCTCGCTGCCGGTGGGAGCAGCTAAGATATTGCAATTCTCCCATCTTTACTTCAGTTGCCCCACGCTGCCGGTGGGAGCAGCTAAAATATGGCAATTCTCCCATCTTTACTTCAGTTGCCCCACGCTGCCGGTGGGAGCAGCTAAGATATTGCAATTCTCCCATCTTTACTTCAGTTGCCCCTCGCTGTCGGTGGGAGCAGCCAAGATATTGCAATTCTCCCATCATTACTTCAGTTGCCCCACGCTGTCGGTGGGAGCAGCTAATTGTCGGTGGGAGCAGAAGCGGCTGCTGGTGAGCAGTGGGGCGAATGTAAGCGTCGAGTGCGCAGTGGACGCTCACCCGCCCCCTACGCGCTTCTCCTGGAGCCTCAACACAAGTCAGGGCGTGACGATCCTCAAGCCTGACGCCGCGGTATGATGCAAAATGTATAATGTTTAACTGTGGTTCATCCATGTACCTTCCATGCTCGTGTATTAAGTTTGTCAATGATTTATTCATGTTCCTTTGATGTTCGTTTATTTAGTATGTTGATTATTCATTCATATTCTTTTCATGTTCGTTTATTTAGTTAGTCAGTGAATACTTTCATGTTTATGTGCTCAATTTGCTAGTGATTTAGTCATGTGTTATTCAATATTTTTTTTATTTATACAGGTTTTCACTGTTGTTAGAGTTTATGAGAGACAGTCGAAGTGCTTGGACGAATCGTGCAAGTGTTCTAGAAGTTATATAACAATTTATTTAAAACATTAACGGGAGTAAAAAACGGCTAGAACTTGCTGCTTCGTGCCAGACTCAGAAGTACTCGTCTAAAAGAGAGCATTAGGCTATATTTGCTGATATAAGAACCACGATATATTTGATAATTGAAACAGACAATAGAAGCTGATAAAGATTGGATTTGCAGATGTGAAAACTGAGGGCAGCTCATCGGTTTTCGTAATAAACATTGCAAGAATTTATTACAGTAAAATGTAGTGAATTTTCGTTCGAAAGCAACGCTAGCAATTCCTTCGCAAGTAAACGCAGCCTGCGCTTAATTTTACCGCAAAAAAATAAAACTGTGGAATTTAATTCAGCTTCCTTACATTTGTGCTCGTAATTTGCCTCTAAATTGTTTAGCCAACAAGACCTAATTCTCAACAACACAGAAATGTTGGCATCTCTAGGAAGTATTCGGTTCGAGCAGACGCATCCAATATTGATAGGCTTCCTAGACGCTGCCAAGTCATGAGACTATAAAAGTCACAGATTTGTTGCCTCAGTCGATTGACTGGAATAAACCTTCATGAAAAATTCACTGCTATTCCTGCGCCTGAATCCAAGTAAAATAGATAAACCATGTAGCCCATGCCGAAAGAATTCAATTGAGGAAGACTTGCTTCGTCACGTAATAGGAAGCGTGATTCCATGAGTTAAAAATTTCTCAATGCCATCCTAAATTATATCGTAGGTAATTTTGGCGGATTCAAAAAAATCATTTGATATTAAAAAATGTCATGAATTTCGTCTTGTAGGGTTTTTTTCTGTGCGTTTAGGTAACTTTTTTTTATCACTTTCGTTTATTTTCTATTTCAACTTCACGACATTTATATTTTTCACTTTAAATAAAGTTCTCCAATAACTGGCAGACAGTTTGGTTCTGTTATTGCGTTGGTAAAGTAAGCATAGACCAATAACAAGCAATTGAGGTTGAATGTTTTACGACCTTCACATGTTGCTGAGCGCAACTGTCAGAAAGATTACTTGTATATAGACGCCCATTATTACCGGCAGCTTAAACCAAACAAGGTAAATTGTTCACACGCAGCGAACAGATCCTGCTTCACCTTGAGGATTGTTTACAACGGATGCCCGAACACAAATTTTTATACTAATAATTCTATTTACTTTATTCTGCTAACATTACATTATTCAATCAGTAATAAACACCATGCAGTTGAAAGAGAAATATCTCACTCAATCCTGAATAATACTCACGGTTTATACAAGGCCCCAGAAGGATTACTAGAATTTGAAACAAGAACTAACACCAGGGGCCACGGCTATAAACTAAAAAAACAGCGCTGGAACACATCCATGCGACAACATTTCTTCTCGCTTCGAGTCACCGACACCAGACGAAGCTATGCAAGAGCATATGTTCAGTCTTAAAATGCCTAGCAAATTACGGACCAGGCAATAAGTCCAGACGAAGCTGTGTTGGAGCATATGTTCAGTCTTAAAATGCCTAGCAAATTACGGACCAGGCAATAAGTCCAGCAGTTATCTCAATCAATCGTCAATTATGGAAAGATCGGGTTCCAAAGGCCGGATCCCTTGTGAATCCCTTGTGAAGTCACGAAAAATTCAAGAATCGGCAACAGGCCATGGGCCTATTTCTTCAATGCCGACACTTCTATTCTATTCTATTCCATAATGAATAATAATGTTAGTGAATAAAGTCTGAATAATTACTCATGAAAACCTGCGAACCCTCAGTCAATTAGATCTTCTTGCAAAACCAATATCCATCTGCTCATAGAAGCAGTGAAAGAGCTCTCAAGCATATCATTTGCAGCAACATCACATGCACAATCAATCACAATCACATCACAATCATCTGATACAATATGACCCGTCAGCAATAACTGTAATCAGAAATAATAAATAGAAAAATAATAAATAACTGTAATCAGAACAATACCTAAAGCTCGTTCAAAGACTCTTGCCTGAAGATGATCAATGATGATCGTATATAAAGCGCGGCGCATAGTCTGAGGCATCGTTTATTAAGGAAATTTCCTAACTTCGAGATGCTCAGACAATAGGTAATTTCAGTAAATACCTGAAAAATTTTTAATTGAAAGGAAGTTTGAACCAAACCCTACTTACTTTTAAATGAAACATGCTTAACTGAAAGGCTTTCCTGATGTATTCACTATGAAATTCTTGATCGCCTCCAGCTTAGTCGGTAACAATCCTGCTCGGGATCAGCTGCTATTTGGCCGTCAAGTCTGATCCTGCAGCAACTCTGCTCTGTTGCATTAATTGGCGCTGAGCCTTGCACCAAATTTTAATTTGAATAAATAGAATATTTTAGCGGGAGTTTCTAGCATATACCTTTCGATCGAAATAATATCAATGCTAAGTATATTTTATATCATTGATAATATTATTGAAAATATTAATAGTTGACTAGCGATGTCACCATCCTTTTAAGTAATTATAATCAATTTAATTAGATATCATTCGGATTCATTCCCATCACATTATCCTACCTGAATTAATCATAATTCTCTTATCAATTACTGCTAATCAATTGCGAATTCACAGTGCAAAACTTCATACAACCTTAATTCCAAATTCGGAGGAGAATTTAATTCTCGAATTTAATTGCTCTATTTTTATTTAACTCGTTGTTTTATCTGGCTTTGCCCGTCATTTCGTTCTGTTTGTGGTATGTCTGAATTTGGTCTAAGATTTGTTTAAGATTTGTCTGAACTTGGTCTGAGATTAGTTTGAGAAATGTTTGAACTTGGTCTGAGATTTGTTCGAGAATTCTTTGAGATATTTCCCAAATTTTGTTTCAAACAAGAGTGAACTCTGACTGGAGCCAAATTGAAACCAAAAGGCAGCCCGAGAGGTGCCGGAGTTAACCAAAATCGAGTAGTAATATAGTTGTGAAAGTAGTAGGTTTTCTAGCACCTCATGAATAACTTTATATATTTAGCGCCGATAAAAAGCAAAATGGAAGCCAAATAGGGATTACTAATTCAAATTCTGCGACGGAACGACGAATTTTTTCTCAAAGTTGGCTTCAAACTAAAAAAATTATAATATGTGCACTAGACAATTAGAAAATTTAAAATAAATACTTTGATCCAACGTCCGTTTTCCGATGTCACGTTATATCACCAACTTTTTAAAAATACAATTTTAAATATTTATTTCATGCTTTATAACGTTTAATTTCGGCAAACATCCAGAAACGATGGGATACTGGATACACGTTTAGTATGTTCACTATATTGTGCATATAATATAAGATAGATTATGTGATTTGGATAAATAATAATGATTAACATAAACTAATATAAAAAACAGAATTAACAGAATATGATTGATATAGTAGATATAATAGATATATGTATAATAAATATAAAGACAGAATAGAAATAATAGATTAAAGGAATTAATTATTTGAACTGTGAACATCAACATCGATCGTTATAAACATGAATTTCAGTAATTATTATTTCTGCGGCTTGCAACGATTGATTTTTTATGATGCCCGTCAACGGCAAATTTTAATGAAGTCCACCATCAAGCTATGGCTCATAATTTAAGATTGTCACATTCCGAGCTTTTAAGCAAACGTCTCGAAGGACTACCTGTCAAGCTACACGTCCACTTCATCGAAAATACTCTTCGAGCCTTTACTTCAGATAAGAATTTGCCTTAAAAGTCAGTAGACCAAGCCAGTGCTCTCCTCGAATACTGTACGGAATTTGTTACTGACAAATTGTTGAACTGAATGCTAAAACCCACAGAAAACTCGACGTCATTTTCTACTCAACGCGGTTATAATTGACAAAAACTACTATTCTTAACTACCCGGGCACCTTACTGATTTCGACTATCACAACCAGTTTAATTTTTCCCAACCAGTTGCAGGTCTTGAACCCTCAACTCA